CCCAAGACTACTAATGTATTAATGATAAATAAATATATTTGAAACGGCTTAAAACGTTATTTATCAACAAATAAGTTTTAGCCTGAATAGGCCAATGGGAACATACATAAGAGCTAATGCTCAAAATCTACGTGTAGATACTGTACTCACATCACTCTGAAGGTCATAGGCCTGCCGAGCACGGATCACATCGTTCTGGTCAGGCAGGCACGTCCACTGATGCAGGTAGTTCTTATAGTCCACGTCACTGACCAAGGTCTGGCATTTCTTGGCCAGCACCACCCCCAGCATGTCCACTGGGCTGCTGAACTTGGTCTTCCACTTCTCAAAGTCCTTCTTGTACTCCCTGTCACTCTGGATCTTGGCCACATGCATGGACCACACCATCTTGGGGTCATCTTCGATGTTCCGGGCTCCAATGTGGTGGCCCAGCTGCTTTCGGTAACCATCTTTGTATTTGTACTGAAATTAAAAATCACAAATCAGGCTTTTATTGCAAACACTGATGCTGCAAATTCGTACAAGGTCCTATTACTTTTGTCATAGTTTAACTGATTTTTGCTCATAAGCACCAACTCCAGCCAGCATCATGGCTTTACCCTCAAAGCCTGTGGTTATAGTAGGATAGATGGAATTCATACATCTGGGGTACACCCCTCAAGCCACTGATGGCCTCGTGCTAAATTATACTTCTGAAGGCAGGAAACACACTGGGGAGAGTCACTCATGGAAGTCAGGGAGAGTCACTAGAACTGCGGAACCTGAAGAATTGGATCTCACACACTGAAAACATGTCAGCAAAGGAATGCGCTTGCCTGCATGGTATGTTTACCAAGCTGTAAAATGGCTGAAAGTGGCTGTCTCCACAAAGTACTCTAGGTCAATTTCTGCCCAGAGTAGTGACAAGGGAGACATCATCTCCCACTGAATCCACACGTTCAGTGTTATTGAAAATTTTTGCCATTATTGTGAAAACTGATTGTATTATTAAGCTGCCATAGCAACCCATCTGGCTAGATCATGCTCTTAATAAGGTTGTGCGCTCTGTTTTCCCATGGGCCAACAGTGTTTTTATTATGAGTTCAGTGACTTCATAGTGAAACCTACACCAGTCGTCCTCAACACATGCTTCCACTTTCAAAGACAATTGAGCTAGAAAGTGTGGGCGAATCAAGAGGAAGGAATCAATTGGGCACAGTGGGAAGGAATGAGTTTGTCTAGAGTTTCAACTTCATCATTCACTAAGACTTTGATTTCAGAAAAACTGCTTGACCAAGTCACAACATGGAGACAATGGTAACACTTAGTCTTAAGTAATTAGAAAGAACAAGCAAGATAATGCATAGAAAACTCTTCACTCAGTTCTCAAAACTTCTTATTTCATCATTATTGGTGACATAAATCCATTTGCTGAGGCAGGGAAGGGGTTAATATGCACAAAATAAAGTGAGTCACTAATATTTCAGTAGAAAGAACAGGCTGTCACCATATTTGTGAATAGTGAGCCTTGAAATTTACAACAGAGGTCTGTTCCTCGAGAGCACTGGAGGTACCAAGAAAGCGGGATAGTTTACTCTGGGGTGGGAAAGTTAGGGGGTGTCACAAAGCAGAGCCAGGAGCTATTGTAGGTACAAGTCTGAGTCAGCAGCCCCCCTCTGGTACTGATCTTTCTTTTCATAACCTGGCAAGGGTGAATTTTATCAACAAATGTTACATGCATTTTTAAATATTATACATTAAAATGTCACATAAAATGAGGCCCTGATGCTTATCAGGAAAACAGAGACTTGCGAGTTATACTAGCTGTATTTCTATGAGCCTGGTGATCATTTTTATATAAATATCTCCAAGTCTGCAGCTGTGTCTAGCACTCTATATATGCTTGAACTTGCTCTGTTCCTGGTGAACCAGTTTTTACTGACAACACTGTATCCTCAGGTTACAATCTCCTTCCATAAATACCAAATTTTCCATTCCCTCCAAAACCAGGTTTCTGAAAAATTCCATTCAAACACATCAAAATGTATTTTCTGAAGGCCAAAGAGTAAAGAAAACATTCTCGTGAGTGTGTGTGTGTGTGTGTGTGCGTGTGTGTATGTGTTGTATGTTTTTGTATGCATGTGTATCCCACCCATGCCTGAGGTTGGTGGTGAGTGTCTTCTCTGGTTACTCTCCTCATGTTTTTTGAGCCAGAGTCTCTCACTGAACCTGGAGTTCACCACTCCAATTAGATTGGCTGGCCAAAGGGCCCTAGGAGCTTTTGTTTCCCTGGCCTACCTGCCTAGCACTAGGATTACAGAAATATTGCCATGCTTGGAGGTTACTTGGATGCCAGGGATCCAAACTCAGGTCCTCATGCTTGTACAGGAAGTACTTTACCCACTGAGCTACCTCCCCTGTCCCTGATATTCCCTCCTTGACTTTACCCCAGAGGCCTCAGATTTCTATAAATGTGCTTGTCCAGAGGAGAGTCTACAATACTATGAACCACAGACTATTTGGAGTAGTGAGGACAGGCTTTTCTTTGACATAATGGAAACCACATGCACCATTATGGACTGCTAGCACTCCATTGAGGTGGGTGCACATTGCTTTGAAGAAAAGGAAGCCATTTCCATCCACATCTTTCCTGATTTATGCATGGGCCCCTGAAGGTCCAGACAGATTGGAAAAGATTTGGTAACTAGAGAAGTGACAGGGGGTGAGAAAGTATATTTTGTAAAAGACTGCAAACTTGACTCTGACTTTAAATCCTTGCCTTGGGCAATGTGTGCATTGCAGAGTTTAAATCATGTTAGTAGTTCAAGTCAGATTGAGGGTGAAAGGGGTAGAAAAGAGGTTAAAAAAAAAAAAAAGACAAAAACCAATAGTTCTATATTCTATACTGATCATAACTCAAAGTATTTTATCCATTTTGGAGTTGTATTTGATCAGGGTAAGGAATGTCTAAGAATCCAGGCTGTAATCTAAAGGACTGCAAAGATAACCCAGGGTGGGGAGGGACTCCTCCAGGCTGTAATCTAAAGGACTGCAAAGATAACCCAGGGTGGGGCTGACAGAGGGACTCCAGTGACTATCTCTACCTCCGTGGATGGGCACACATTGGCACGGCTCACTTCAGAGAACTTTGTGGATTTTCAGAAAGACATATTGTGACTTAATTCATGAGAAGCACTTTTAAAGCATTTTTTTAAATTTATTATTTTTATTTTATATGTATGAGTGTATTGCCTGCATGTAAGTGAATGCACCCGTGTCATGCACCTTTAAATGGAATTTTCAAGAACAAACTGACTTAAGTAATAAGCTCCTTGTCATTGGGAATTCTTTTTTTTTGTTTTTCAGTCAGAGTCTTACTATGTAGCCCAGCTGACCTGGGCTACATATGCAAAATAGATTTATTAAAGATTTGTTTTAACAGCAAGGGAGATACATCTATATTTGTTCTACTTCTAATTCCCTCACTTCAAAAGTTAATAAAAGAAAATGCTGTACTTCATCTTATGGTTATCACTGAAACAATTCATTATTGTAAATTGTACTCATTAAATGGTAATTCACCTCACTTAAAGTGCAATATTTATGACAGTGATTGAGAAATGCAAAAGTTGCTTTTCTCATGAGGGAGGAAATATTCTTTACAAAGCTGTCCTTTAGCATTAGAGCACTGTGGAATGATTGATTAAAGGAAAAAAAATGCTGTAACTATCAAAGAATTAGCATCTGCGCCCACCTCACTGTAGTTGACCTTGTTCATTCTTGCCAACATGATTTCTGGGGTGTCTGGCATTATGTGGATCTGCGTCTTGTCTTTGTCCCAGGCTTCTGTGTATAAACGCTATCAAAGACACACATCCATCAGGAAAAAATTCAATGATAATATGTTTCTAAGCAATGAGAAATTTATAAACAAGAAAGATGAAGTTACATTATTTTACATAACATTATGTATCTTGTACATATCTTCAAATGATTTCATAGTGGAACACAAATATGCAAGTGCCTTCCTATAATCATAAAATGTATGCCACAAATTAAAATGAAACAGTAACTGAAGTTAATGGCAAAATACACATTTCGTATATATAATGATGATTGACAGCTTAGAGAAACAGAAAGAGGACACATGAAGGGGTGTTTGCTAACGAATGTCTTATTATATGAAACTCCATTTCTTTCGCTTCTCAATTACGTTCCCATCTCTTGGATTCAGCTCCAGGAACCCTGCAAAGGTTCCCTGAATTCTGAACTCTCACCTTGTTCATGGTGATGGCATTGTTCTTGGCCAATACTTGCTCCAGAGAATCGGTCACACTGGTGAACTTGAACCTGTCTGGAGGCTGTCGGTAGATCTTGTCACTGAGTATTTCAGTTGCCCGTTTGCATTTTTCCACATCCAAAGAGCCAATGGGCACCCAGCCGATGCCTCTCATCCACTGGAGGTCTGACTTGTACATATTCTGTTGACACAAACAGTCAAGAAATATTTATTTCAGCACCAGGAATGCATTTTTGTCCAAAGGATATAAAAATCAAGTAAGAGCACTCATAAAAATACAGTTTGGTAGGTGCAAGAATCAGGCTGTACTCCATTTTATGTGTGGGGAGCTAAGGTTTAGCATTCAGAGGGAAAGCATGCATGCTGTCTCCACACACTTAAAGGGCTAGTGAGCTTTGAGCCACCTGTTTATACCTTCTCCTGTGGAGTCAATTCGCTCTTTCCCACCTTTGCATGTTCTTATGATCCTCAGTACTCACGTCACTCTGGAGGTCATAGGCCTGCCGAGCATGAATCACATCGCTCTGGTCAGGCAGGCAGGTCCACTGGTGCAGGTAGTTCTTGTAGTCCACGTCACTGACCAAGGTCTGGCACTTCTTGGCCAGCACTACTCCCAGCATGTCCACTGGGCTGCTGAACTTGGTCTTCCATTTCTCAAAGTCCTTCTTGTACTCCCTGTCACTCTGGATCTTGGCCACATGCATGGACCACATCATCTTGGGGTCATCATGTATAGCTCGGGCACCAATGTGATGACCAAGCTGCTTACGGTAGCCTTCTTTGTACTTGAACTACAAGAAGAAACAGACTTCTAGTCATCTGTTTTGATTTTTAGGAAAATGCATTTACTAGGACAAAATTATCCTAGTCATTAAAAAATAATGATTTCCTTTGAATATATAATACATGTATTTTTTAAACCATTTGGAAACTAATTGAAATATATATACTAAAAAAAATTAAGACATTAATCTACTACTCAGAACTAACTTTCGTGGTGCATGTTTATGAAAGAGAGAAAAAAAATCAGAATGTGTGTCATATATTAATGGGTTCTGTCTGCTTTCTGCAGTTATTATGGAAGCATTTTTGTGTGTCATTAAATATTCTTTATGAACATAGGTTTTAACGACAGGAGGTATGTTATTATATGGTTATACATTAATATTTAAGCCCTTTATGTTGAACACTTATTTTTAAATTGTGATAATGATTTTCCATATTTTAGAAATAAAGAAAAAATATAGTTTTGATCTCATGGACAAAAAAAGGATAAAAATTTTAGAAATGTGAACAAATCCATTTTTTAAGGAAAGCAGAAGGCAAGGAAGGGGAGGGTAGCAGCATGTGGAGGGTATGCTCAAAGTACATTCATACATGTGGAGGATATGCTCAAAGTACATTTATACATGTGGAGGATACGCTAAAAGTACATTCACACATGTGGAGGATACGCTAAAAGTACATTCATATACCTGCTTGAAGATGGGTTTGTAACCAAGTATAATACAATAAAAAAACATAAAGAAAACCCATGTCTGGAGGCAGGCATGGCACATGGATGGCTGGACTTCAAGCGGTGTGTCCTACTTGCTCAGCTCTTAGATTCATCAGTTTGTATGACATGGATTGAGTTTTAAAGGACCCTTAAAATTAGTTTGATATCATGTGCAAAGGTGAAAAAAAGACATCTGAACTGCAGTCAGGTATCCAGCTGCTTTGGTTCAGCAGAAATGGACACTGAAATACTTGTTATCATAGCTAAACTTTGGCACAGTGCTGAGAATTTTATTATCATCATTTCAAGCCACTTGCTGAAAAAAAAAAAAAGCTGTTAGCAACAGTTTTGACTTCATAGCTTGGTCCACTGTAAGTTCAAGAACATCAAAGGGATTGTTGAGCCAAAGCAAAGGTGAAGAACCTCCTCCTGTACTTACGTCACTCGCGATGTCCCTGGAGGCCTTGGCTGCCTTGATAGGAATGGCATCCATACGCATGTCATAGCCTTTCCTCTTGGCTTCTTCTAGGCCAAGTTTATATAATTTCTGCAACAGCCATAAATATCATGTTTGATTTATAAACCACATTGTAAGAAAAACATATCGCGAATCCCAAACACACTGCTTACCTCACTGTAATTGATTTTGTTTTGTTTAGCTAGTATAACTTCAGGGGTGTCTGGCATAATGTGGACAGTAGTTTTATCTTTATTCCAGGCTTCTGTATAGAGGTGCTAAAGCAAACAAAAGACAGGACAAATGCCAGTCACTAATGGATACTTTGATTCTTAGTGAGAATAAAGAGACCCTGCCCTATGAGCTGGTATTTATAATACTTTCAGGCTCTGATATCTTGTGTCATTAGGAAGTACATTTACTTTAAAAATGCCTTAATGCCATGCAGAAGAATTGAAGGTGAATTTTATTATACAGGAACAGTGCCACCCACTCCTTGCCAAAAAATTTAATACCACCCCCAAGCAAAGAAAGGACTTACATGGTTCATGGTTATAGCATTATTTTTTGCCAAAACCATTGGCATGGAGTCCATGAGGCTAGAAAACTTGAATTTATCTGGATGTTGGCGGTAAACATGGTCACTCAAAATCTGAGTGGCTCGTTTGTTTTTCTCATCCTCGAGGGAACCAGAAGGCATCCAGCCAATGCCTTTCAGCCACTGAAGATCAGCCTTGTACAAATTCTGAAATTTCAAGTGACAAATCACAAATGTAAGTATGAATCCACAAAGAAATAAAAGTTGATACTCTATTATATTATATAGAAATATTTGTGACATATAACATTTGAAGTCCTGGAAAACTTCAGAAACTTAGTGAAATTTTCAGATTTGAAATATATTTTGGAAAGCAACAGAAACATGTAGAGAATGACTCAATTTTTCATTGATTAGATTAGCAATCTAGAAGATTCCATTTAACAAGGGACTCTTTAGAATCTTTGTGAAATAATGCTGCTTGGATCACTGGGTGAAGCTTGGGCATTAGTCCAGGGAAGTAGAACTCAGTTGTGTAAACTCAAACCCCATTACTATTAGGGAACATTGATACTTAGGAAGTCAGAATATTTAATTGGGCAAAGGAACATCTTAGACTCACATCACTCTGGAGGTCATAGGCCTGCCGAGCATGGATCACATCACTCTGGTCAGGCAGGCACGTCCACTGATGCAGGTAGTTCTTATAGTCCACGTCACTGACCAAGGTCTGGCACTTCTTGGCCAGCACCACGCCCAGCATGTCCACTGGGCTGCTGAACTTGGTCTTCCATTTCTCAAAGTCCTTCTTGTACTCCCTGTCACTCTGGATCTTGGCCACGTGCATGGACCACATCATCTTAGGGTCATCTTCGATGTTCCGGGCTCCAATGTGGTGGCCCAGCTGCTTGCGGAAGCCTTCTTTGTATTTGTACTAAAGAAAAAAAAATGTCCCATTCTTGTTGCCACCCTTGTGGCAAATTTCAGAGCATATTAATTCTAAATATCTTACTAAGCTTAGAGAGTTACAGATTTCAATAGGAAAGATTAAAAGCTAAATTCTAAATTCACCAACAAATCCCATATATAATAAAAGTACCCTTGATCTTATTCCCATCCTACACTGCATATCTGGGATTATCACTCTGTTTTAATTTGTTAGAAGATTTTGTTCAATTTTAAATCACATCAAGTCTGCTTTGAAGAAGTAAATTGCAATCAGTATCAACAGGGCATAAAGTCTTACTTCGCTGGCAATTTCCCGGGATGCTTTTGCTGCTTTGATTGGTATGGCATCAACAGGAAGATCATAACCTTTTTTCTTTAGCTCCTCATAACCCATTCTGTAGAGTTTCTGTTGAGAGATAAAGATTATCACTTTGGGAAAACCATTCTCCATAAACAGCTCTAGGATAATGAATCCAATGTGTGAAATATTTCAAGAGTCTATGAGAATAGTCTCTGTGCTCTAGACTACTCAGATGTAATTGGATATTATGTCTATGGGTTGCTGATGATGCTGCTTTCAACTTTAAAGCTCTTCAATTAGCAAACACACAAAAGGTCTTCCTAAGTACTTATGAGAAAGCTTCAGAAGCTAATTGATAAAGAAATGAAATATAATTTCAGTGCTGTTTTCCAATTAACATTGTGTTCGGTTAGAAGTTGCTGTTAGAAAAGAGAATGCCTTTTAATCTTACTCCTCTAGTGGGAAAAAATCATTTGTGAGGGTCTATCACTTCTTTTTTTAAAACTTTATTTTATTTATTATTTTTATTTTATGTTTATGCGTATATTGCCAGCATGTAGGTAAGTGCACCCATGTTGTGCAATGCCCGTAGAGGTTAGAAGAGGCTCTCAGATCCCCTGGGACTGCAGTTACAGACAGTTGTTAGCTGCCATGTGGGTGCTGGGATTCGAACTGTGTCTTCTTCAAGAACAACCAGTGTTCTTAACCACTGAGCCATCTCTCCAGCCCCAGGTCTATCACTTCTATGTAGCTAATGCTTTGTGGCCTTTCAAAGAAGGACTGACATCTGAAGGTAAAATAGTTCCTCATGATTTAAAAAAGATTTTGTTCTTATTTTATATGAATGTTTTTCCTGCATGTATGCAAATACATGTATGCACGGGCCTGGTGCCCATGAAAACCAGAAGAAGGTGATGGAATCCCTAGAACTATAGCTATAGACAACTGTGAGCTGCCATGTGAGTGCTGGGAGTCAAACTCTGGTCTTCTGCAGGGCAGCAAATGCTCTTTGTTGCTGAGCTATCCTTCCAGCCCCAGTCCTTCATAATTTAAGAAATATTTTTAAAGTTTAAATATTGAATTTTAAAACTTATGTATATTTGTATATATATATATAGAGAGAGAGAGAGCTTGTTTATTCAGATTGTGACATCATTGAATAATTGAGGATTTTAAATGTACTTTTATTCAGAAGGCAGACTGTTTTAAATGCCTATTAACACTGTATTTTTGCTTATATTTTAGTTTTTATAGTGCTGTAAAGGACTAAATCCCTAAGAAGCAAACAGGATCCCTGAGAAGTAATAAAGATGGGGCCCTTCCTGTTTCTTCTTTGTCTGGCAGGAAGGCCTTTTAAAAAACTCCAACAGGACCCCTTCAACTGACCTGCTTAGAATCACAGAGCCCTGAATATCTCAGTTTGGAGATGTGACTTGTCAGACTTCTTTAATTTGATCAATCCAAAGTTAGGGGAGGGGAAGACCCTAAAACCTTTAAAACCTACGTCCTTCCAGGAAAACATTGGATTTCAGTTCCTGGTCCCTCTCCACTTGTGGAGAGCTTCCTTTCTCTATACGAATGTGTGTATTAAAGTGTGTGTGTGTGTGTGTGTGTGTGTGTGTGTGTGTGTGTGTGTGTGTATGATTATTTACGAATATGGATGTAATTCTATCTTTCAGTAAAAGTCTATTTGACTCCATTCTCTGCTGGTCTGATATTTCCCTTGCCTTTTAATTCTTTAATTGGTTGAGAATGCAAACCAAACATGCCCTTAGACTAATAGTGCCGACCATAACAATATTACCCTCATACATTCTTTAACATTGAAGTCATTCTATTAAGATTTGTAATTTGTTTTTTAAATATTTAATTTTATACCTATATACTTCAATGATTACGGTAAAAGATCAATAAAAGTAAAAATAAAATTCTCCTGCCAGGGATTGCTTGATTACTCATTTAAAATTTCATCAAGCATCTACTATATGTCAAGAACGAAGTTTTGTAAGCAATGCAGATCCAATAAGAATTGTTTCTGCCTACAAGGAACACCTGCCCATATAGGAGAGAGTGATATAAACATTTCATTAAGATAATCTATGTAATAAGGGAATGCAAGAACAGAGAGATCAGCCCTCCAACTCAAGATAGGGAGCACCAATTTCGTCTATTCAATCTAAAACCACTAAATAAGGAATCTGAGTCACACAGAGTTTGCTAATTAAAATGACTCAGGAATTCAAAAGAACTTCAAGATAACTCCACTGCCTAGGAAGCAATTAAACAGAGCTTTTTGAATGTGCATGTTGGATGTGGAAACTTACATCACTTGTATTGATTAAGTTGGCCTTAGCCAGAACGATGTCAGGAGTGTCAGGCATGATGTGGATCTGCGTCTTGTCCTTGTCCCAGGCTTCTCTATAAAGTCTCTAAAATGAGAAACAAGAACTTCCTTAGGCATGTTGACAGACTAGTTGGCTTCAGATGGAATTAATAAGTTCATGTGCATTGAACATTACATTTGATAGCATAAGCAAAAAACAGAATCTTAGATACAATTACCTTTAAAATATAGATTATGGATCATGCATTCAATGTTACAGATACTTCTGTTTACAGAAATCAATGCAAGTAATAAAAATTTGGTCAATATTATAAAAAAGAATAGAGTTTTCCAACTTTAAGGTCATAAAAGCATTCCCTGGGTGTTAACTGTGTTTTCCAAAGTTGATTTACTAAAGTATGCCTAGATATTAGCAATATTTTATTTATTATTTTAATTTTTATGTTTATAAGTGTATTGTCTGCATGTAAGTGCATCTGTGTTGTGTAATGCCTGTGGAGGTCAGAGGAGGGTGCCAAATTTCTCTGGAACTGGAGTTATGAAAGGTTATTACCTGCCATGTGGGTGCTGGCAGTTTGACCCAGGTCCTCTGCTAGAGCAGCCAATGCGAAACTGCTGGGCCATTTCTCCAGCCCACTGGCATGCTCACTATATAGGATATAGTGGCATACTTACTATAGAGGATACTAGTAGTAAAAAAGAATAAATTCTCTTTAATTTTTTTTTATTTTGTGTATGTGTGGGTGTCTACATATCTGTATGTCTGAGGGTATGCATGCCATGGCATGTGTGAAGAGGTCAGAGGATAATGTGCAGGAGTTGGTTCTCTCCTTCCACAATGTGGATCCTGGGATCGAACTCAGGTCACCAGGCTTGATGGAAAGCACTTTATCCACTGAGCCATCTTGCTGGCCCCATAAAACTGAAGAAGTTCTGAAGACAGTATTGTGTCAACATTAATTTCATGACTTTGATCATTCCATTGTGGGTTATGTAGGAGAATGTTCTTATTTTCAGGACATATAGACTGAAGAATTTGGGTAACATGAGAGAGGAAAAAGAAGAAGGAAGAAGAAAAAACACAAATGTGTTAACATGTTAATGTTTTGCAATCTAGATGAAAAAATGTATAATTGATGCAATTTTCAACTTATATGTATGCATTAAATTATTCCTATGTTAATATTCTTAAGATTTCCTTTATTCCTTGGACTTGTCACTCCCTTTGAGATGTAGTGGGATGGGTAGGGTTGGCACTTTTCTCCTATTTGAACATGCTTTCTATAAATGTATAGGGCCTAGAGATGCTAACTAGGACCTTCAGGGTCAAAATAAAACAAGGCTCATTAACTTTAATATGTATTTATCCCAATTATGTACCAGTCTTTCTAATAAAATCACGAGAGTTTCTTGGTGTCTGGTGTCATGCCCTGGGAGGTTCTTGATTATAGGGAGCTGTCTTGTGCATTGTGGGGTTTTAGTGGCATCTCTGGTTTCTATCCACTAGAGGCCAGTAGCATGCCACCTCCAAGTTGGTACAAGCAAAAAGAACCAGTAAATTGGACAGTTTCTTCAATATCACATGCCATCTTGACCCTACAGAACACAGAAGGCTGATATTATTTATATTGGGATAAATGTATCAGTCCATTCAAAAGAACGGACAGTAGGCTCAGCACTGGAAAAACCTGTTTCTTTATAACATTTCTACTGTATAAGGTTCTCAGAATCTCTCCCCTTCTTATGTTCTATCACAAGCAAAAATATCTAGGTCTTCAATGCATTTAGGTTTCAATGAAAAAATACATTCAATAATTTTCTTATTACATTCTGGCTAAAGCAAACTTTGGTTGAACTAGGGTTGAAAATAAACTGTTTGGATTATTTAGTGTGGAGTAACTGATAATTCAGATAGACCAAAGTAATATAAAACATTATGGTGTGCTAAATCAGGTGATGCTTTGCTGTTTGACTCATTCCCTAAGGAAATGCTATTAACTACCAGGTGGCAAGCTCTGTAACCTATTTTGTCAATTTCTAAACTACTCACATCACTCCTGTTTTTGGCATTTGTCTTTGCCAGAACGATGTCCATGGCGTCAGGAATGCTGGTAAACTTGTTTCTATCCGGAGGCTGACGGTATTTCTTCTCACTGATGATTTCTGAAGCCCGCTTGTTCTTTTCTGCTTCCAAAGAGCCCAGGGGACTCCAACCTATGCCTCTAAGCCACTCAAGGTCAGACTTATACATGTTCTATGAAAGGACAAAGCAAGCCATCAAAAGTCCACCCTCATTTTGACCATGACATAACAGAGTCTATTCATTAAAACCAGATATGTTTTCAGATTGTCAATGATAGTTCCTCTTTCTAATTTCTGCCTTTTCTACATATAAATGACTGATATGATATGTGAAGTAATCTGTCAGCTACTGAATTCGACAGACACTGACCTCACTTTGCAGCTCATATACTTTTTTGGCTTGGATGACATCATTCTGGTCAGGCAGGCAGGTCCACTGGTGCAGGTAGTTCCTGTAGTCCACGTCACTGACCAAGGTCTGGCACTTCTTGGCCAGCACCACCCCCAGCATGTCCACTGGGCTGCTGTACTTGGTCTTCCACTTCTCAAAGTCCTTCTTGTACTCCCTGTCACTCTGCATTTTGGCCACATTCATAGACAACACAAGTTTTGGGTCATCTTGCACACTCTGGAATCCAATATGGTGCCCAAGTTGTTTCCGGTAGCCTTGCTTATATTTAAACTGAAATCAAAGGAGGCACAGCCATTTTTATTAATACAAATAAAAGCTAAATTAAATTCAGCTTGCTTTTTTGCCATACTTAGTTTTCAAATCTGATGTAAAAGAATGATTTCGGTGCTAACTTAACAGTTTTCTTCCTGCTTAAGTAGAAGCATCCAAAGAAACCTATTGTAGTTGAGTATTAAGAGAAGTCATCACGCACATGATAATTAAAAGTACCAGG